ACTTCTGCCTGAAACACTTGCCTGTTTTGCCATTTGCAGTGAAGGTCTATTGTAATCCTCATAGGCAGGTTCATTCATTTTTTTTATCTGGAAAAGCCTTCACTCTATTTTAAAATTATTCCCTTTTTCCTCACTTCCATTTCCATGTTTCCTTCGCTATGTTCCCAGTGGATCTGACACTTCCTCATTAACAGAAGACAGTGACCTGTGACAAAAATACATTTTTACGGAGTGCTTGGGCAGGAAGCATTACAGGACCCGAGCAAGATAAAAAATACTATAAACTACATAAAAATTCAGCTCTGATGGACTCATTGCCACGAAAACAGAAACAAGTGAGCAGACACCTTGGCAAGGACTCGATCATCTCCTGTACAGCATTCATGGAAGCAGCCAAGGGTCAAAAGCTGTTGCAAAGCTATTGGGAATATGGAAAATAGTAACTGAAGGGAGATGACACACTTGGACATCCTGCCCTCTGCAAGTTAAAACAAAGAGGCAGGACCAGAGCTGAAGAATCACCTGTGAGAATTTACACAACAGCACGGGGTCTCTTGGGCAGCGGTCTCCCAGTAACAGACCAGGGAACAGCTGAGTGTCTTCACAGCACCCAGAAAACCCCTGCTGAAGGGCCAGCCGGGGACTCTGCACCCCTGGCCACGATGGGGAGGAGAGGCAAGAGGAGAAGGAGCTGGGATTGAGGGGTGGTTTTGCATTGCAAGCACTGATCTTCCAGCTTGCAGCCTGGAACTGAAAGCACCGCACCAGTGTGCTTCCAGCTCTCCAGAGCACACTTGGGAGCAGAAAAGGGTCTTCTCTGCCAGGTTTGCCTGGATGTACCCTGGCTGGAGTACACTGAGCTACGCAAGGCAAGGAAGCCATCCAGGACTAAACTGGAGAAATTTACTCCCACGAGCATTCACAAGCACAGGAGAATCCATATTGTGTCTTGCAGCCATACTATTGACCAGAGTCCCAAGACCATATATCTCCCCTTGATTGGTAACACTGATGAAGGTCCAGAGCATCTGCCTCCTCACGGAGCCTTTTTCTCTGGGAAAGGACATGCCTGCCCAGCCCTTGGGAGTCGGAGATGCTGGACGAGGCAGTGGAGGCAGCTGCCTTCTGTGGTAGCAACAGCAGCACAATCTTGGACCTTGACGGCTTTTACCCCTGCAGGGCAAGCAAAGGCTAAGCAAAACTGTACCCTGGGGCTGCCTGTTTCTCCTCTTGGAAATTCAGCCGCCAGACCCACAGAGTAACAGGAGAAATCACATTCTTTTCCACAGGGATTTTATCACCTCAGTCCTGGCATAGGAGAGGCATCTCCACCCAGCTGTGAGCAAGCAAGCGCATTTTGCTGGCTTTTTTTATGTAATCAGAACAAATTCCTCAGAGATGAGTCACAGGGTTTCAAGGGTGTCCAGAGAGATGTCAAGCAGGCCTCAAGTGTAAATCAGCAACACACCTTGCCGAGAGGATGCACGCTAGCAGGCAGGCCCATTCCCCCTGCAGACACCAGGCAACGGAAGGGGCTCCGTGGATGTTCCCAGAGAGGCTCCCAGGAGCCACACACACACATATGGCACCTCCAGACCCAGAACGCTGCTGGTGTTTACATTTCCTCTGTAAAGGCAGTGATGGTTTCAGGGTGGAGCTGGAGTGCTTCCCTGCAGCTGCTCTCCAGGCTTAAACACTGAAGATTCTCGGTCATTCGGGCTGCAGGAGCCTGGCAGTCAGGGAAAAGATCTGAACTTCAGAAACATAGGTTCTGCCCCACCAAAGCCTGGTCAAACTGCAGGGATTCCTAACTGGGATGTTCGTTTTGGTGGAAGAGCTGCATCCCACGGCAGTTGTTTTGGTGCTGTGATGCTGCTACGTTAAGCAAACCTGTTCCACTCCAGACTCCGTGGGTCTGTAGGCCAGGCAGAGGACAAAGATGATACTTGCATAATTTCAAGACATAGTCTGCTTTAGTGGCTCCTTTAGAGGCTGAAATGTAGAGGAGGACCAGGAAGAACTAGACCTGGACACAATCCCAGAGGTCCACAGTAACACTGAGGAAAATGCCGTGGACGGTCTTGGGCCTTTGGGTATCAGAGCAGATGGAACAGACAAAAACCTTGGCAGAGCTTGGCTCTGGGTCAGTTTTCTCACACTAACGCCAAGAGCAAGGTTTGGCACAAGGTACCAACACAGGCCAGCCTCCCGACTGGCAAACCACATGGAAGTCTCTCTTCAAGCAGGGTGTGCAGGGTTCTTCCACTCTAGAGTGGGGCAAATCTCCATTTGTGCGTTCTTTGAGGGCAACTGCAGGAGACACAACCCAACTATTATGCCCTTCATCTTTCAACTTCACCCTCAGGTGACTAACAATTACCAGCTACCATTAATATTAAATAGGAGAGAAAGAAATGCAATCCTCTCTCTGCTCTTCACATTCCACAATATCACAAACAATTTGTCATATTGGGAGGGGCAGAGGCAGGAGGAGCATTAATTATTGATACTTGGGAACAGATGGCTTTTCTTGTACCAGGGCAGTGAAATGTAAGAGGAGCCTGTGGGTGAGGATGTGAGGATTAGATGGGCAGACATATATCAGATGACCAGCCTTCAGGTGGAACAGGAACCTTCCTCCTAGAACCAGCTCTGCAGCCCTGCACAGCTCTCATCAACAGCCCCAGCTGCAGAAACAAATCCACTGACAGCTGAATTAGTGAGGCTTCACCACAACCTTTCAACGCTCCCTCACCTCCATACAGAACATCCTGGACACAATGACCAACAGCCTCCAGACAGCAGAGGCCTGCCAAACCAGGCACTGACTGGTCTCTCCAGGAGACCCTACTGGTTGCCTTTCACATGTTCATCCTAATCTACTGCCCTATGTAACACAAGGTTTACTCCTGAGACCACAAACAAGTGTCATGAGTGACTCCCTCCTGTCTTTCACCGGCGTCTTCACTCAGGGTGCTGGCCTCGAGAATCAAAGACCCAAGTGATCTGGACCAAAAACTTCAACCAAAGACTCTGCCATCCAACTCTTTTTGCCAACTTTTCCCACCGATCCATGTAAGGATCAAGAGCAAGAAGACTTCATTCTTGTCAGCTCCCATGTTGGTGTTCTTGACATCAGAGACACCTACCAGGTTGCAAAACAGGCTTGACACAGGACACGCGCTGTGAGTGTCCCCACGTCCAAGAGTGGACCGTGCGACTGACATCCTTACAAGACAGGAGGAACAACTGGGCAAGAGTGAATCTCTACCAAAGGCAGCTGATTCACCAGAGAGGACACAGTTGGACCACAGAGAAAACAGCTTTTCCTGAAACTTTCTTGAACAGCTACACCCACTGCTGAAGCCCAGCATGTGCGTCTGTTTTCACTCTAGTGTAGTCATGTCTTTGCTGGAAGACTAAGGAGTCAGCTGTACTGACTGAGACCTGGACCTGGGAAGCCCAGGGTCCCGTCTCAGGCAGTGGTTAAAAGCAGATGCCCTGAGAAGGGTCAGAACTCGGCAAGCCGATGTGAATCCTCCTCTACTACTGCAAGAACAATATTCCTCAGCTATTTTCTGCTCGGGCATTTCAGAAGCCAGACACCATCTCTGTACATACTGACCCAATTCAGTTCTCCTCTCTGGACGTACCCCTTAAATCCTGTAAATGGGCACCCACTTTCCCAGCCAGGACAGATTAAATTCACAGTTATTCCACTGAGCAAGGCAGACTTTCTTGCTACCTCCACAAGCCCAGAAGGTACCTCAGGACCACAATGTCCAGTTCCTTGATAGACTGTGAGGAGGTCCCCGGTGTTTCTCAAACTCTGTTTGTACTCTTGGCCTCTGCTGAGAGGTTGTTCCAAAGCCTCATTACTCTGATAATTAGAAACGCTCTTCTCATTTCTCAAGCTGACTAATCACTGATTTCTAATTCCTCTCAGTCTGCCTAGGGTCATGCAGCCTGCGAGATTCCTAAGACACGTACAATCTTGCGATTTGGAAAAACACAACTTCCCAGCTTCCCTCCTGGCCTGAATCAATGGCAAAGTGCTTGAGGTGAACAAACACCAAGTGTCAGGAGACAGATACTGTCCATCAATCATACAACAAGCACTGTCTCCCTCTGAACAGCTCCCCTTTTTAACCGCACTCCTTTTCACAACATGGAGTAGGACGGAGAAATTTCCTCTACCTAGGAGCCAGTGGCGAGGGGGAAGCAATCTTACGAAGACCTGGGCCACATCTCCGCTGGGAAAGACTGAGCTCTACCAAAAAAAGCAGTGAACTTTCCCACTATACAAGCTTTGACCAGTGTCAAAGCTTGCTCTAGTTTAGCATAGGAAGCAGACAGAACTGAAAGAGGGTCTTTATACTGCCGCATTTTACCAGCACGAGAGCTTTTGTTCCTCTAAAATTCCTCTAAAAATGCTGTTCATCTCACTGTGACGGTACCAGCAAATGCTTCTAAGGTAGATCTGGTTATCAAGTGCAGTCTCCACCGAGCTCGATGTGTTTTCACTAGCTAACTGCTGCTGAACAGTCAGCTGAGAGCTAACGTGCACAGGCGAATCTCATCTCCCCCACATGCCACAGGGGCTGTGGAGGGGATCAACTAGCAGAAGAACTCTATGGATTAGAGAGCAATATAATGGATCAAAAAGCTGGAGCAGGCCACACCTTTTCAACCCCAGAGCAAAATTGTTCCCTTTCACCCTACTCAAGTTAACATTTCTGTGACTCTTTTCCCTGCAGCTCCAAGAAGAAGGAATCACATTATATATACATTCCAGAGAACTTTTCCCAGCAGAAATAACCGTTTTTAACACACATTGTGCTTGGGAGAATGTCTAGAATTTTACAGGCAAATGCCTAGGCGGAGCTGTGTTTTGACCCATACAGGAAAGCTGTAAGTTGACATCACCATCCCAGTCAGGCTCTGGAGTCGGGGCAGTCGGCGGGCTTGGGAGGAAGATATGCTCGGCAGGAGCTCCCTACCTCTTTGATGGCAGACATCTTGATGTTCTCATAGTAGTGCAGCGGTGCATTGGGTGAACTCATGTCATAGCCAAACCCAGCTACCGCCACCTCATCACAGTTGTGGAGCGCCATGGTTATTGCTACGCTTCCCAAGGTGGGGATGTTCTGAGAGGAGAGAAAGCAGGA